GTGGGACGGGATTGCAAGAAATAGGGACTGAGGATGCAGGTTGCGTGAAAGACCAGTGGGACAGGGACAGAATCGTAAACTTGGTAAGATAGGAATACTAGGGAAAAGAAATAGCTGAGAATGCGAGAGAAGAAAATGTGAGAACGTGCAAAATGAGCACTCGTCGCTTGAGATATATATATACCCTTGTGGATCTCAAACGAAAACCAGATATCCCAAAGGTTAAGGAAAGATGCAACATAATACCTCACAGTGAGCGGGTCGGAACGGGGGGAGGGGAGGTCGAAGGAAACTGAGACAAAAATGTGCACACAAAATGCACGGTCCGAAAGGAATGTGGCTGGATAATAGTTTGTGGCCTGGATGTGCAAGCGTGTGTGTGTACAGCTGTGTAATAAGCTGAAAGAGAGGACGAAGATTGGGCACACACATGCACACAGAGTTGTAAATGGCCAATTTATGAACTTGGCGACATCGTGAACCGAGTTCATCCGCAAGTCTCTCCCTCTCTATTTGTTACATTCTGTGCAACATGACTTAGATTTCGAGGAGTACGCAGGAAGAAATAACGGTTTAAATTTTCGTCCGAAGGAATGCAAATAGAGCAACATTTTGTTGTTCGTGCCTCCATCCTAACACGCATGGGAAAGTTGAAATCGCGGAACTTCAAGTGGTGGTGGTTGATAAACAGAAATGAGATCCATTGCGGGTTTTCGATAGATGGCAGCAAAACGTTCTAGGGTTACTCTAAATATAAATAAACATAAATGGAGAGAGAGAGAAAACAAGAAAACGGATGCAATAGTAAATAAACTGCTAAATTGGCAGTCTGTGACTTTATAGGCAGGTATTTCCTTCATTATTTGTCTGTTCGAGTTTACGTTCATCACTTATTTTGACGGAGGGAACTGTAGCCCTCAAGCCCGTGATGGACGGCAACGGGACCACCATGGAAGAGAAGAAAGACAAGAAGACAGCGCTTGGGAACGAGCCGAGCACACTAAACAAATTCGGAGAATTGCATATAAAGAAGAAACATGTGGAGTTCGCTTTTTGTTTCTATTTCGCTCACGGGTTCCCGGGTTCGCAGTGGTTTTTATGTTGTGTTTCTACGATCGACACACATACAGCTACATAAATGTGCGTGTCTGTGGTATTACACGGTTCTGACGGAAATCGTGTTGAGCAGTCAGTGTGGTCATGGTAGAACCGGACGATAAGGAACCGCTATGGACGAGCGTGCGCACGCGCTGAAGGCAACACGTCCCGATGGTTAGCCCGAAACCGCCAGAAGCAACCGGATTGGATCATGGTTGTGTGCCCCGTGTGTTTGGATCTGAAATACGAAAGAGGAGCAAATACAGAGCAGTGAGTAGCATCTTTGCCGATCGAATTGCCAGGTCGCGCGTGTGAGAATTAGGAGAAAAACCGAAAGCGCGGTGAATACGTTCAAAGCATGACTACGCACTGAGCGGAGGGTTGGGGGGGGGGCTGGTAAGAATGAACTGGATGCGTGAGTGCGGCAAGAATCGGATAGCCTATGGACACACCGATCATTACAGGTTACACCACTGCAACCTAAAAGGGCATATACAACCACGTAAAGCGAACATAATATAAACACAAACAAACAAACAATGTGGGTGACAGATGAACTTTAGGTGGGATGCCGTATGAGTAAAAGTTTGTCAAAACACAAACTACCATTCAAGCGTTAGCGTAATGAAGGCATTCGGATGTTACCAATGGAAACATTCCGACGTGCAATGAGCACTTATTCTGACGAAACATTAGTCTTAGTTTGATTTGCATACTTGCAAAGACCTGCCCAATAACAAAGTTGGCGGAGGACCCAACTAACTAACTCGCTAGATAATTGAATACAGAGCCTAGTAAAGGTGTAGTTATTTAACTACACATGTACGAAATTGTTAATCCAGTGATCTAACGCAATCCTGGCGATGCGTTTATATCGGGTCGCATTAAATACTTGTGCCCCTGATATGATTCAGTGAAAGTCAGATCAAATCACATGGCCAAATCTAGTGGGAGAAAAGCGCATGAGTGAACATTTGGTTAAATCCACTGTACTGCCCGAGGGCAGTATAGCTTCCTAAAAATTTCTCCTACCGTGTGTTCTTTTGAAATAATCATCATTTCTGAACATCGTAAACCAGTTGAATTCCGTGGACTCATCACGAGAAATACCGCTTGTCGAGGGCTTCGTCTTTACACAATTAACCGCAATTCCAGTTCCCGGGTTTCTTAACGTCTGTATGTGCTATATATATACCGAAAGTAAGTGAGCCACTATAAGAAATCCGATTTTGAGTGGATGTCAATTTATCTGATGTCAAATTTGCCGCTCCTTAATAACAATCCGCACTAGCAAACCCATCCGTAGGCCAAAGCTAAGTGCATCACATCTCGTGTTTCTGGGCTGATAATCGTTGCGCTAAGGGTATCGAGAAACATGATCTTCAATCTTCGGTTACAAATAAAGAAGAGGGTAGCACACTAGCTGTGAGTTTATTTGGAAAATCACCATAGCAATTCAATGATCAGCAAGTCAGATGAAACTAGAAGTTTCGGGACAGATCGTTTTGAAATGGAACAACGGAATAGTTGATCTGAGAACCATCGCAAGAGAATTACGGATCGTCCTCGACCAGATGAATACCCCGAATGTGCATCAAAGAGAACGAATGAATGCGAATTACACAAAAACTGTATTCATCACCCCATCGTGAGGAGGACGCGTGAAATCGAGGACACTCTGCCAGGTGAAAAGCTTGTACCCAAAACTACTGAATCATGCGGTAGTCTTACTGCTCATTGTACACGGATATCATCGAGTTCAATCAAAAGAATAATGGATAACTTGAAAAGGTTGCAAAGCTTTTTACTATCCTAGAATTATCATAAACAAAAGTACATCATTTATTACGCAGATAGTAGTGCTTACTATAAATTGCTGATCACAGAATCTGATAAAGGAATTANAGGAATTAGACGTGAGAATCCATTCGGGCAGTTAAGAGCGATTTACGGGACGCTCATCATCAACGCACTATCTATGAGAACGTAAGACATAAGACCGATTTCAAGTCATATTGACGTCCATAGGAATGGGAAGAGCGGAGCTGAGTGAGTGCACGAATGCAGGATACCGAAAGCAACGAACAATGCCATACATCCTTGACGGGCCAACGTGGATCAGACACAGATTACAACTTGTTCTGACGAGAAACGAACTGAATCGTAGTCCAGGGTGACAGAAGACAACCAGCCCTTCCGACTGTTGATACTTGAAAGCCAGTCCCATTCGTAACACGTATTCATGATCAACCCAAGTCGTGCGCAATGTTGTTCACGTTTATCCGGTATGCAAAATCGTGTATAGCACACCGTATACGCATGTCGATGAACTCAACTCGTGCAATTAGTACTTGATATTCCGTGCCCGAATAGGCATTAACTGAAGACGTGAACCATAGCATTCGATCATCTACACCGTGCCTATGAGATCTGAGAACGAGTTCCAGTTCCAGTTCTTGATCTGACAAGACCGATTGGACCGGAACGATAATATATTTTTAGCCGCATTGGAAACACGGGCTTATGTTGTCTTGATCTGGTCGTAATCTTGTTGTACGCAGTGTGGCCAATAGTTGCTTAGTGCCTAGCGGAATGACAGCGGTGCAATAAACCGATCGGGGCTCAGCATGAAAGATCCTAGCGAACGGACAAAGACGAAAGATGTGCGAGAACGAAGGCACCTATTCTGAGATAGAGCACTGAGTATGTGCCAACAGAGATGCGAGTGCCTGGGAGAGACGTTCGTCCCATTTCGCAGTCACTACTCATGAAAAAGATGCGTTCACAGTAGTTCCGGTCACTTAATTCATTTTTCCACTGATTTATTTGTGCAACCAATTACTGCCATTCCGTTTGTCGATTACAAACAGCAGTTCACTTCCGGCCATACAGATCTGTATCAAAATGAACAGGTTGGGATGTTTCCTCCTCCCCGAAGAAATAGATGGCCGACATATATGGCCTAATGGTCAACTGATCAGAGTTTGTTCGAACCGACTACAGAAACCTTGCAAGTAAGAGGGAGAAGTGAAATGAGGCAGTAAGATAGGGTTTTGTTTTTAGGTGGAGTCGAGGAAAAAAGCCGCGAGCGCCAAATGTGTTTCGCAAAGACACTTTTCGATTCTACTTTTTAAAGTAGAACAGCTCTATTGGGTTCTGTGTTAGCCGATAGAGAAAAAACAGCTGTACAGATGATGCGAGGAAACTGGAGAATCATGCATTTAGCTGGAACGCAACATGCACCGCTTTAAATCCATCGACCTTTTGATACTGAAATGACGGTGATGAAGGAAAAGATAAATGTAAGCCTAATACTGAGAGCCGCACTAGAGTACCGTTGGTGAACAAATGGGTGAAAAGGCAATGTTACGAGTATATGCGAAGGATATATTATCACATGTTCGTTAGAGTGAAAAAGTGGAAGAGAGGAGTACAAGAAGCGGGGAAAGGCTCGGTTGGTGTATTATGATGGCGTGAGGCAATTATCACATAGGTCATGAGGCATCGTAGAACCCATAAACTAGAAGATCACGCAACTACATACATCGTAAAGGTATAGGAAATAATCACCTTTGAGTAATGAGTTTATAAACACAAACTGACACGTGAATCTGGGACACCAACCACCTATAATTGACGTGCAACCATGAGAATCGATGATGTATGACAATGTACGCTTATTCAGAATATTGTGATTTCACACGATCAAGAACAGAAGAAGAATTACTTGAAGGTCATGTTGTACGCATACACACACACAAACAGACTAGCAAATCAAACAGGAAGAATTGCACTTCAAAACATAGCTATTCACCGGCACCAGGTAACGCAGAAGTGAAAAAGCGGAAATGAATGTGTTAGAATCATTAGGATCAGCCGTACCATCCACAGAATCGAACATGTTAGAAACGCGTTTGCATTCTACTCTGTCGTCTGCGCCGTCTATCCGACGTACGTGGAGGTGCAGCAAAAGCAGGCGGCAAACTTTGAGCAGAATCGGGCGAAAATCGACCGGACGATGTGCGCGACTCCGAAGTTCTGTCTCCCAACGAAGGTGTGAACGCACGGCGACACGCTACCTTGAACGCATCACTTGAATGACGTTGCGTCTCTCCACAAGGATCGTATTCACTTTTATTGAGTTGCGTATCATGCAAAAAATCTTCCACTGAATCGACGTTAGAAGCGGTTCGGCGACTGCCAATCGAGTTCCGACCAGACGAAGTGCCAGTGATGGTTATCACGTGAGGAGTTGATAAAGTCTGTCCACCAGTTAGTGAACTGAAACTGGGAATTTTACCCCGTAAACGACTACTTTTGCTGCTTGCCGCATTATACGATTGGCCAACAAGTGGTGTCGCAGATCGCGTGCTAGAATACGTGTGATACACCTTGTCATAGTGCATTCGGCCTTTTGTCGAAGTGTAACCGCGTGATTGTGACGAACGAAATGCGCTAAGAGAATTTGGAGAAGAAGCAGGTGACACCAGAATGGTTTTTGGTGCATTTGGAGTGACCACCGAACGACGGTCCAGTGTTCGCGAGGTTACCGCGACCGAGTGATTGTCATGGGTTTCATCCTCGCTCTCGGACGAGGTGGTCATGGTGCCGGTGTACATGCTCAAATGGCTCGCACTTAGACTTAAGTCTTTCATAAGCACATCCATAAGATTCGAAGGGATGTGTGGATCGGCACTGGGGCCTGAGCTCGAGCTCAAGTTCCAGGTGGATCGGGCTCCTCGCTGTGCGTCGACAAGCTTGAGATTTCCTCCAACTGGCCTTCTACGCAGGCCAGACGGCAAGGGACTGAATCCAGACAGGCCGGACCGCAAATCGAGTTCGCTCGAATCACCGTCCCAACCAGACGCTGACGTGGATGGCTGGGATAGGTGGTACTCTGATCCCATTGCACCTCGAGCTGAATGACGGAATCCCCCAACTGGACAAGGAATTGCGACGGACCGCGTGTCTCCATCGTTGGATTCGTTTCCGGTGGACTCACGGGGCGTGATAATCCACACATTAGATTGCGGAAGGAGGTTCGCATTCGTTCGGCCATTGTGTTCGACCGGGTCAGTCGTGGTTGGTGAATCAGAACATCTAATAGACGGAGGTATGGCTTGATCGCATCGACAGATTGCACACGCACGTACATACATACACGAACACGTAAAAGAAATAGGATGGAACGAATAGGGAAGAGTTGTGTAAAGCAGCAAAAGAGCCAACACATACAAAAACGCGCACAGACACACACACATGAAGAGAGGTGAACCACAAAAGGTGGAATTTACAAACAGACGTAGTAAAACAGTTCATTTCGCACCCGAAGCCGATTAACCAAATCCGTTTCACCGTGGAGATACGATAGCACACGGACGAAGAGATACCAAGCGCAAATTGGATAGCACAGAAGAGATGAGAGAGCGAGGGGGAGTGGAACGAATGCACACAAACACAGCAATCGGGTAGACATGAGAAGCAAACGGAACATACACCAAATATATGAGACGGGGGACGAGGGAGAGACGAGACGCGCGAACGGACGAGCGAGCGAGCGATCGAGCGGACCAGTGTGGTGTGAGAGGTGGAGAAGACAGAGACACCGCAAGATAGACCGAGTGTGTATGTGTGGGGGCGTAGGCGATTTCAAACAAAAGAGAAAAAAGGCCAAATGTGTGAGAGCAATGGAGAGATCGAGTGAAAGAGAGCGGTGGAACACGTTACCGAGCAAAAGAGGTATGGAAAAACAATAAGGAGATCATGTCAGAATCACTGAATGCAGACCAATTGTATTGTAACTCGCGAACGAACGAACGTGCGCACGCACGCACACACATACATACACACATTCTTTTAAAGTGTGCCAAGATAAACAATAACTATCAAATCATTCGTTCAGTCGAGCAAGACATATTACCTTCTTGCGTGATAAATGGTAACTGATTGCTATGCCTCTCTCTATATAAGGAATAACAAGGCAAGGAGTAGACGCTCCACTGGTTCAAGTTGAAGATAACGAGTGCATGCGCTAAAAACAGCCTAAGCGGGTATTCACACTACGGGAGTATGGTTTTGTCCCGACTCGGTGAGGACTTTTTTGTTAGTGATCAGCATGGCCGGGGCAACAAATGATGCATTCATCACCCGCAACGCAATGCAATGTGCCACAGAAAAACGTGGCACATGACAAGCCATGATTTGCGGGAAATCGCCAGGGTAGAGAAGGAACGAGTAACGTAACCATAGACATCTCGTTTTCTAATTGCTAATTGTGTATTTTGGTGAAATTGGGATAAATCATTCATCAAGCGGTAGTATGCACCACGGGGAAATGCCCCATTGATCAAAGAACTGATTCCACAGGAAGCTTAGCTGAGGTGATGATCAACGCATGCATTTGACAAAACAGAACGAGACCGTATGTACGAGCGAGCAATTATCAAATTGTAACGGGTGATATACCATATTTTAATCCCACTCCTATACAAATATGATTAGTTCACCACGAGTGGGCAGTAGATTTAAATGCGACATTGTTGAAATTTCTATGCTAACTGTTGACAGGAATAAATAAGCAAACTTCACTGATTCCTATTCACTAGCACTATAATTGTTCAAATTTCTTGGTCAAAAGCCCATTGAAATTGGCGAACAGTAATCGAAAAGTCCAAATGAACACTCACCTGGACGTCGTTTGATCTCACTGCTGACATTCATGAACCACAGCGACAGAGAAAGAAAAGAAGAGAAATTTGATGGCGCGATGATGAGAGTCAAATTGCAGGTTTAAATTAAGCTGACAAACTGCAGCAAAACAAACATGCATTATGCATCTTATTGGAGAGATCATGTTTTACACAAGAGGGGGGGGGGTACAGTGCAATGCAACACAGTAAACCCCGTGTTCAACGTCTATAATGAAAAGGTAGTCAGTAAAATGAAGTAATACAGACACAATCGGCAACCACTGAATTGAAAAGGCGGAAAAAACGGCCAGTTGATTGAGAAAGGATTCACCAAATTGATCAGTATAATCATGATTGTGCTGTGTGAACCCCATAAATTGACTTAGGAGGGCGCTTGAAAGTCGGCAAAAAACGTCTCAAGTTAACTCAAGGAATGAAACCCAGACCCAGGACCATCAAGAGTGCGTGATGTCTCTGAACAATCGAATAGACTAATCCAAGCTTGATACTCTAACCATAGTTATGTCAACGCTCCGTTATCGGGGTTCCCCTGGGCATAATTGCGTGTTAAACAGACCAGATCGGAAACAGTGTTCAGCACAGAATTCAGTCAGCTGTGGCACATTTTTGCAACTGTATCCGGCGAAACTGTGACAGACAGTAAAGCATGATAACAGCCCACAGTCACATATATATTGTTGAATCCATTCCGGCTGAACCTGACCTATCAACCATTCATTGTCAACCCTCTCTCTATATATGCACACAATCTGCAATTTGTTTAGTCCAGCAGGACCCAGACCAGTACTCAAAATTTTCGATTGGAATATACCTGAACCTGAGCAAGCATGATCGCTGATACCAGGTGGCAGTTTGGATTACACTTCTGGGATTTAGTCTTCGAAGATGACGGTGACCCATAGTTTTCAATCAAAGTAAGTGGACAATATCGAATAGGAAAACCCCACACCTTAGGTGAACCCCGTCCATTTTGTACTAGTACCTCCTGTTTCACATTCGATATCGCTCTCTCTCAGTTTGTGATGCACCTTGGGGAGGGGGGTTGAGCAGGTATACGGCAGAAAGAACCATTGCATGAAGAGTTAGTCTTGGAATTGAAACAACTAGCCATCAGATGCAGAGGAATCCAGATGAAACGAAAAACGCTAATGCTCAGAGAAACGATGAGGAATTATCAAGTGA